AAGCTTTATGAAGAAAAACATTTGTCAAACAATAGATTAAAGTGAACACTCATTTGAAATTACTGAAATTGTTGACTTATCTAATTAATGTTCGATCATACTGTGATGGTGACATCGTCTCCAATCAGAAAGAATCCAGCCCAGTACATTGGTTCCTCGTATATCTCTCTCATSTCYWTCATTGCCTGCTGCAGACTCTTACTCGCACTCTCTCCATTCTTAAGATGGGAATAGAATTTCAGCATGAAGAACATTGTTGCTGTGTCATCAATTGCCCACAATGACGCTACAACGGCACGAGCTCCTGCAGCAAGAAAGGCTCGAGTCATCCCAACAACTCCTTCAGACCTGATGTCTCCTCGACCACTGTAGCAACAGCTGAGGACAACCAGTTGAGCACGAATTCCACTCTCTTGTACTTCTTTCATTGTCAAGAYGCAGTCMTTCTCCTCTGCTGGACTCGAGTACGTCGTAGGTTTAGRMGGAGCGAGAGCAATCTGTCCATTTTCCTTACTACCATGTGCAGCAAAATGRATAATTGACACACCTTGTTGAAGTCTTCTTAGGACTGYTTCTTTTGTTGCTTGAGWMCCWATCAATGGCTGTACACCAAGAAGATTACTAATCTTTATGGCTTCATCTTCGGCACCGGGCAACGGGGAGAACATCACTGTACGACCATTACGACTGACGTGTCCAGTTGTGGGGTTTCCAATGATCAGAGCACCTGACTAAAAATRAATAATGCTTAACGTCAAGGTCAAAAGAAAAATAACTGATTACCCAACATATTGTCTAACTTTCTTTTGCGATGTTTTTCTTTTCCCTGCATGGCAATGTAAAAACATCCACCATTTGAATTTTTTGCAAACATAGATAATTTGTTTGCTGATTCAACAAAGTTTAATAGAGTTTCGTGTGCTTTACCCATTCTTTTTTGTGGGATTCTGCCTTGGGCTTCATGAGGAGGTACTTATTTTGATGTCCGAGACAGAATACGAGATACAAAAACACTCAATTCAACTTCTCGAAATATTTTTGATGTTCAAGTTAGACGTTAATGTTTCCCGTTTTTAAGTACTACCTCGTTCAGTGCTTGTGCAAGTGGAATAACGAGAAAACGTCGCTAAATTTAATAAAAAAACATCAAAACAAGTTGCGGTATTTTTATCTCGTATTTTCTCTAGAAAGCTTTTTAATGAGATGCATAGGTTGTTTGTCCTTACCCTAACATTCTTGTCATGTGAGGATTCTTGTAGAATTTTTAACGTCGTCAGAGAAGGAGCCAGTCGAATGCGTTTGGTTTTCGATAAAAACTTGCCTGTTTTGGGATC